GTAAAATTTTGGAAAATGGGCGTGGCACCGCCCACTTATGATCACATATAAGTATACCGGTAACCGTTCTACCAATTTGTACCGAACTCGGTTNCTACCAATTTGTACCAAACTCGGTATGGTTATTGTACTTGCCACGTGTAAGCAAAACGTTGAAAATTATTGAAATCGGACTAAAATAACGGCCGATTCTCATATAACGGTAAATTTAAGAAATGCTTGAAACTTCAATATTTCGAAATTGAAGGACGCTAATTTACTCAAAATTGATACACCTCGGCTTACCATCTAGCGGAACGTTTCGGAAGGGTGAAAAAACATATATTTAATACTTGCGCCGGGTATTTAATGTTCGGCTCCGCCCGAACTTAGACTTTCTTACTTGTTTGTACTTTAATTCCTGAAAGTTTTGACAAAATTAAATGATGGTACGTACAGACGCCACATACATACCAAAGCATCTCGTAGTGGAGACGCGAAACAAAACACATTTACCTCTATATCTTTCCAACAAGTAGCCGGAACTTAATATATGAGGTATCGTTTGAAAGGTATTGGCCTACAGAATAACACTAAATATATGGGTGTACCCATATGTCCCCTTAAACCGGCAAAAGCAAAAAAACGTGTTTTTGGTTCGCAACACTTTAGCCTAATTTTTAAGAATCTGGTTAATCGTTTAAGAAGCTTAAATACATTTTCTGGAAACACTCTGCAAGATCTTTCCAACGATATCTCAAACATGTCAATTGGACCCCTGGATAAAAACTTCCAAATCTCGTGTAAATACATATAAGCGAGTCATTTCAGCATGCTACTGTGTCTGCTTCCGTCACTCGCGCACACTGCCGTGCGCTGTGATAGGAAACACCTTTCTAGGAAGCATGCAGGGATGCACTTTTTTCAGTCCATACTGGGTAAGTCTTTTAGAATGGCTACAAAATGGCAAAAGTGATCATGAAGTACGTTGTAGGATATGCGGAAGTTTGGCAATGGTGGTAAGGCAAACATTCAAGACCACTTAAAGGCGCCGCTTTTTCTAAGTTACGTCACCGTCAAGAGAACTTTTTTCTTTTATGATAAAAAAAAATTCAGAACTTGAGCGTTTCATCATTATCACTCATTCAGCTCTAGGGATTGTGCTACAAAACTACTGTTTAGTTATAGATAACTACATTATATCTACATATTAAGTACCCAAATTCATTGGTACTATCTTTTACATTTTGCACCATCACTGGTAGCATTTAATTATATGTACTATCACTGATAATATCAGCTGCGCATAATTGCTTAGCTCTTCTTTATGCTAATTATTTGTATCTGCGCATGTCCACATATATGCATACTTGCATACATATATACGTAAACGTTTGCTTGCTATCAATCTGTGCTCCCGCTACTGCATTGATAGCATTCAATGCTAAAGAACCGGTTTAGAGTTTTGAGTGACTTTGATAATGCGCTGTTATCATATTTGTACATACATACATACATACATTAGCATAACTGTATTAGACTGGCATATGTACCACTAAATCAGGTGATCTACATCCATTTATACCGTATGCCATTTTACTTATTAGCTGGAAGAAATTTTGTAAGCTAAGATTTTATGTTCTCACTTGCATTTTGGTCATCTTGGCAAGCGCTAGCATATGCACTTAAAGCATTTTTAGTAAAACGCCTGCATATCTTTCTTGGTGTTTCGCGCATACATACTACTCGTTTATTTTTAATATTGTATAGAGCGCTAGCATATAGTTTTAAGCAGCGAATACAAATCAATAATTATTGTTAAATAAAATTGGAAAAGCCTACAAACTATTTTTATCGTACTTTATCTCGCATTTAGTACGGGTCAGTAAAAAAGCTTATTGCCCCCATAACATTTGGTGACCCCGACGTGATCGCGGAATCAACACTAACAAGTTTGGTTTATCGCAAAATTGGTTTATCAAACGTTGCGTTTGACTATTTTTTGGCACGTCAATTTCAAAAGAATGCCACCATCCAAAAAGATTGACTCAGCTGAAGGCAAGAAAAAGCTGGAGTCATTTGTCCAACAAATTGCCACGATCAACAACTCCCTGACTTTCGATGCCCTGCGTGGGTTCGACGAGGCTGCAGTAGAGGTGCGCATCGAGCAAGCGGATCGAATGGAGAAGAGGTTCGATGCCCTTCACACGCAACTAGAGGACAACGACGCTGATGATCTTTTGACTGCATTTACTAGTAACTATATCGAGGTAAAAACTAAGCTGACACGTCAGCTGCACACATGCCGAGCTTCAGAAGCGCATAGCTCTACGACGAGGCCATTTTCTGGTGATCAACCTTCGATCATCGTCACTCAACCAAAGCAGAGGTTACCCGTCTTACAAATCCCTAAGTTTAGCGGTAACTATTCAGAATGCCCAGATTTTTTCTCGATGTTCAATACCGTTGTACATCAGGACGTAGATTTGACAAGAATTGAGAAATTCCAGCACCTTCGGTCAAGTCTACGTGATGCAGCGTTGGACACAATTCGTTCCTTAGAAATAAGTGAACAAAATTATGAGAAGGCCATTGATTTGTTAAAAGCTCGATTTGATAACAAGCGTTTAAACTTCCAGGCTCATATCCGAGACATTGTTCAGCTCAAGAGGGTAGAGGGTGAAAGGGTTGTCAAACTTCGAGAACTCAGCGATACGGTAAATGCTCACTTACGAGCTTTGCAAACTATGGGAACAAAGGAGCAGATCGCCGATTGCTTACTCATTCAACTCGTTTCTGGAAAATTGGACGTCAAATCTCGGGCGAAATGGGAGGAACAAACACCAGCAAATGAAATACCTACTTGGAGTTCAATGGCTATATTTTTGGAACAACGCTGCCAGCGACTGGAAAATGTGCAGAACGCTATTGCACCGCCGGAAAATCAGGTAGGAAAGAAATCGTCCAATAACAATAACAGTCGCAAGGTTCTGCTAACGTCAGCTGTAGGTGCATGCATATTGTGCAGTTCTAGCGAGCACAACATCGCAAAGTGCGAACAGTTTCTATGCCTTTCGCCTACAGCACGCTACAAAGAAGCAAAAAGATTGCACTTATGTTTGAATTGCCTTCGACACGGTCATTCACTTAAGGACTGCAAGTCCGGTCACTGTAGACATTGCAGCATCACAGTCTGCTTCATCAAGAAACAAACTCATTTTCGACTTCGTCACAAGCATTGGCTTCTGCCAAACTGCCGTCGCAAGCGCAATCAACAACAACAATCCCTACTTCTATCAATTCGTACTTGCCTTCGTCTTCATCTTTCGGTCCTTCAGCTTCTGCATTTGTCAGTTCTGAAGTTCAAGCCAGCGTTGCTGACAGAGATTTCGTTCTCTTAGCAACCGCCATCATTTACGTAAAAAATCGATCTGGCTCTCTCATTCCCTGCAGAGCTTTACTAGATTCTGCGTCACAATTAAATTTCATAACCAATCGACTCGTTAACCAGCTACAATTGAAGAAGATCAAGTCTTCGCAGTTCATTTCTGGTATAGGCCAAAATGAGTTCGTTGCTAATCATATCGTTGATTTAGACCTGCATTCGCGCATTAATGATTACACTGCTAAATTGTCTGCGGTTGCAACATCCACCATTACCGATGTTCAACCAACTCGCTCTTTAAAGGGTATTAATTGGAACATACCATCAAACATACGCTTAGCGGATCCACAATTCTTCGAACCTCAGCGCATTGATATGCTCATTGGAGCTAGTTTATTTTTCGACCTCCTCTGCGTCGGTCAGATTCGCTTGGCTGAAAACTTGCCACTTTTACAAAAAACAAAGTTAGGCTGGGTTGTATCAGGCGCAACTACATACAATGTTCAGAAACTATCTTGCTTAGCAGCCATCGACATAGCTCTAGCAAATGACACAGATGTCGAGTTAAACAACCTGGTTCAGCGATTTTGGGCCATCGAGAATTGCAATGACTCCGCACCAAAGACTACAGTAGAGGAAGACTTGTGCGAAGAACATTTCATCAAAACCCATAAGAGATTAGAATCTGGTGAGTTTTCGGTTCGATTGCCAGCAAAATCGCCTCCTTGCGAATTAGGAGAATCGTATCAGCAGGCCATCAATCGGTTCAAAGCTTTAGAGCGGAAATTTCAGCGCAATGCTGAACTAAAACAACAATATTCGTCGTTTATCAAGGAGTACCTTGATTTGAATCATATGTCAGTCGTTGACACTATACCAAAGCAAATTCCAGTGAATTTTTTGCCGCATCACTGTGTGTTGAAAGCTGATAGCACCACAACAAAACTGCGTGTGGTTTTTGATGGCTCTGCGCCAACCAGCAATGGACGTTCGCTGAATTCGATCCTGATGAAAGGACCAACTATTCAACCACCTCTTTTTGATATTTTGCTTAGATTTCGCACATTTAAAATTGCTCTTACTGCAGACATCGCTAAAATGTACCGGTGCGTAAGAATGTCTCATCCAGACAACTTCCTTCAATGTATAATATGGAGGGATAATCCTAATGAAGATTTCTGCATTTTTAAATTAGATACCGTCACCTACGGAACAAAGCCAGCTTCTTTTCTAGCCATTCGAGCAATGCAGCAGCTTGGCCGTGACGGAGCTCTCGTCTATCCCGTTGGAGCCGAGACGATACACCATGGATTCTATGTGGATGACATGATTTTCGGTGCAGACTCTGTGGACGAAGCTAAAGTCGTGCTAAACCAGACAAAGAAATTGTTAACTCTTGGAAACTTTCACTTGAGGAAATGGTGCTCCAATGATGATCGCGTTTTGGCTGATATAGGTGGTAATGACAGACAGGACTTTCTAACCTTCGATGATGGTGCAAGCATAACAAAGACACTTGGATTGGTTTGGGACCCAAAGTTGGACGTATTCATATTTTCATTTTCTCCTTTCGCAACACCAACCAAGGTAACTAAGCGTACAATCCTTTCAGCTATAGCTAGGCTTTACGACCCGCTTGGTTTGATTGGACCTGTGGTGGCCAAAGCCAAAATATTCTTGCAGCATTTGTGGAAGGAGAAGCTACATTGGGACGAAAGCCCACCTCAAGCATTACAAGAAGAATGGCTGGAAATATGCAACCAATACAAGCTAGTTGCTCGTTTTAGTTTCGACCGTTACTTGATAATGCCCGAGGCGGACCTACAAATACATGGGTTTTGCGATGCGAGTATTGCTGCTTATGGTGCCTGCATATACATACGTGCTGAAAGTGACGGACACATACTAACCAATCTTCTCTGCTCCAAATCTCGTGTAGCTCCACTTAAAGCGCTCACGGTACCGAAGCTTGAGCTTTCTGGAGCATTACTTTTAGCCGAGTTAATCGCAAAAGTGGTAAGCGCAACGCATTTCAAAGGAAAAAAGGTATTTTGTTGGTCAGACTCCACAATAGTGCTATCATGGCTACGTAATGAACCGGCCAACTTCAACGTTTTTGTCGCAAATCGTATTAATGCAATTCAGACCCTAACTAAAGGTATGACTTGGGGGTATGTTCCAACCGATTCCAACCCAGCAGACATTCTTTCAAGAGGCGCTAATCCGAAAGATCTTTTAAACATGTCTTTGTGGAAAAACGGACCATCTTATCTTGGTGGCGATCAGAACAATTGGCCAAAATCTCCTCTCTTACCAATAAAGGACTTACCCGAATATCGAAAGCGTGCATTTGTATTTATTACTATATCAGACATGTCTTTAAATTGCAAATTTTCTAACTCATTTGATCGATTGCAGAGAGTATATGCATACATTTATCGTTTCTCCCGACCACTTGGAAAGAGGCTTTCGGGACTACTCAACGCCATTGAGTTACAGGAAGGCACTTTTCTGCTTATTCGAATGATTCAGAGGACGCATCTTCGAGATGCATACAAAGCGCTAGAAGCTAAGGAGGCGATAAAGACTTCATCTGAAATTCGTTCACTGAACCCCTTCCTAGACGAGCGTGGATTGATCCGAGTCGGCGGAAGACTTCAGCATTCAAATTTGGATTTTTCATCGAAACACCCAATTATTTTGCCAAAACGTCACCCGGTGACTGAGTCGATCATCAGCAGCTTTCATAGAAAACTTTTACACGCTGGACCACAATCGTTGTTAGCATCTATTCGTCTTCAGTATTGGCCTATTGGCGGTCGTAAAACCGTAAGTCGAGTTATTAACAAATGCGTTCGTTGTTTTCATGTCAAGCCTAAGCTTATGGAACATTTAATGGGAAACTTACCCTCCGAAAGGGTTAGATGCAATCGAGCATTCCTAACTACTGGAGTGGACTTGTGTGGACCATTTTTCTACAAATCCGACGTACGAAATCGAGCACCAGTTAAATGCTACATTTGCATATTTATTTGCTTCGCAACAAAGGCCGTTCATTTGGAGCTGGTCAAGGATTTGGCAACCTCTTCATTCCTCGCAGCCCTAAAGAGATTTATTAGTACGCGTGGTTGACCGCAAACCATATGGTCGGACAATGCCACCAATTTTATTGGAGCCAAAAATGAGCTATCGGAGTTGAGAAAACTATTTTTGAGCCAAGAACATTCAAGAGCTATTCATGAGCAGTGTGCCAGCGATGGAATTGAATGGAAGCTGATACCCCCTCGCTCTCCCCACTTTGGCGGTTTATGGGAAGCCGCAGTAAAAATGGCCAAATATCATTTGTATCGAGTTATTGCACTTTCTAAATTAAACTTTGATGAGTTTCGCACACTTGTGTGCCAAATATCTGCAATTATAAATTCAAGGCCTTTATGTCCAATTACAGAGAACCCTGACGATTTAGAGGTACTGACCCCAGGGCACTTTCTTATTGGCGCATCCTACACAGCAGTCGTAGAACCTGACATCACCCCATTACAAATTGATCGTCTTAGCAGATGGCAGCGTGTGTGCTACATGCAACAACAATTCTGGAAGAAATGGCATGCCGAATATCTGACTCTTCTGCAGCAGCGCCAGAAGTGGCACTCATATTCGTCGAATCTGAAGCCTGGAGACGTGGTTTTGATCAAAGATGAGAACAATCCCCCGCTAAAGTGGCCTCTGGCCAGGGTCATAGAAACTATTTCTGGAAGCGATCAGGTGGTGCGAGTTGCAGTTCTGAAGACATCAAATGGCGTATACAGACGAGCGGTTGCAAAGCTGTGCCTTCTTCCAATTGAAGATAATATCTTGAAAGCCTAAGTCTTTCAACGGGCGGAGTATGTTTAGTTATAGATAACTACATTATATCTACATATTAAGTACCCAAATTCATTGGTACTATCTTTTACATTTTGCACCATCACTGGTAGCATTTAATTATATGTACTATCACTGATAATATCAGCTGCGCATAATTGCTTAGCTCTTCTTTATGCTAATTATTTGTATCTGCGCATGTCCACATATATGCATACTTGCATACATATACGCGTAAACGTTTGCTTGCTATCAATCTGTGCTCCCGCTACTGCATTGATAGCATTCAATGCTAAAGAACCGGTTTAGAGTTTTGAGTGACTTTGATAATGCGCTGTTATCATATTTGTACATACATACATACATACATTAGCATAACTGTATTAGACTGGCATATGTACCACTAAATCAGGTGATCTACATCCATTTATACCGTATGCCATTTTACTTATTAGCTGGAAGAAATTTTGTAAGCTAAGATTTTATGTTCTCACTTGCATTTTGGTCATCTTGGCAAGCGCTAGCATATGCACTTAAAGCATTTTTAGTAAAACGCCTGCATATCTTTCTTGGTGTTTCGCGCATACATACTACTCGTTTATTTTTAATATTGTATAGAGCGCTAGCATATAGTTTTAAGCAGCGAATACAAATCAATAATTATTGTTAAATAAAATTGGAAAAGCCTACAAACTATTTTTATCGTACTTTATCTCGCATTTAATACGGGTCAGTAAAAAAGCTTATTGCCCCCATAACAACTACATTGCTTATAATATTATGGGAGCCCTACCTTACTATCAATTTTAGTGAAGAAAAAATTTGTTCCCTAGACTAAAGAACTTTTTTTTCACTATGAGTGAAAATCTCTCAAGTGGGCCACCCAAAATTGGACGGTCAAGAGTTTTTCGCACAAATCACTTTATTCGGTTAACGACCACACAAAAAAATATAATTTGAGCAATTTTGCAAAATTCGAAGTTTTACAAGACTTATTGTTATTAACTTATGAATTCAGTAATTATTTATTATCCACTGATTCATATCATGTATCTTGCTGATTTTTCCACGATAATAGCTAATTGGACACGCTTTAGCCTGATTGTTTCAATTTTTCAAACAATCATTATTTTTAATAAAATTTTTAATATTTTTTTTTTAATTTTTATAAACAAATGGAAATATTTATTACTTCTCGATCAGATATTTTAATCGTTTACATTGGAAAAAATAAAGAGGATAGTATAATTGTTTGTGCCGCAGAAATAAAAAACAACTAAGCACTTTTTAACACCCCCAAAATAGTTTGCTACTTGTAGCTGTATACCTGAACGAAATATAATCCTTGGTGAAAAAATGTATTTGTGGATTGTTGTTGTTGTTGGCGCGCGGAATGAAGGCAAAAGCACCTGTGGCAGGAGCGAAAAAAGTAATAACTAGTCACTCCGTGCAAGTTTCCGTGTGTTTTTCTTTTAAATAATGTATTATAGAATAAGGATTGATATTCAATGTAAACGATTAAAAAATCTGATCGAGAAGTACTAAATATTTCCATTTTTTTATACATTTTTTATTAATTGAAAACTTTATACAAAATAATGATTATTTGAAAAATTTAAAAAATCAGGTTTAAGCGTGTCTAATTAACTATTATCGTGGAAAAAATCAGCAAGATACATGCTATGAAGCAGTGGATAATAAATAATTACTGATTTTTTTAAATCTACAAACATGTTTTTTTAGCAACTTTCTAAATTCTTCATTAACAAACGTATGGAAAATTTAACTTAAAAAAACATTTTTTTATAAATCTCTGGCTCTTTGTCAATAAGAAAGTCCTAATTGATTTTTTGATACAACCAATATTTATCGGGTTGCTATGAGGTAAACAATAGCTTACGGCGAGACACCTAATGTTTTGTTTGTTGTATAACTTTTGAAAAAACAAATCGCTGTTGTTTTTTTTGCGTTTACAAATACTTTAGGACCTCCTCTGCAACATATCCGAAAATCGAGCAAAAAAAGTTTTGAAATAGTGTGGAATGCCTCTTATTTGAGGTTTTGTTATTTTCTTATTTTTCTCCTCGTGATTATAACCAAGTACCGACAGGGGACACAGCGAACACAACAATTCGTAAAAGCAACGTGACCAACCGACCCGTTTATTATCTAACCATGGCAACGGTTGCTAAGTTCCTTAACGAACGCAAAACTAGCTACCAAAACAAAAAGGTGAACGTTTGGTAATACATATTATAGTAAATTATAGTTTCTGAAAGCGTTTGTTAATTATTCGCTTTATTTGCTGCGCAAATATTGAATTAATTTCATTTTAAACAAAAAACTAATTGAATTAGTGCAGAAATGAACAACAACGGATTCAAAAACAATAAGTCGAAGTTCATAATAAATACTTCAGGTGAGTGTGTAGTCCATAAAATAAATAATTAAAATGCGCCGCATTCTGAGACGGATGATGATGTATCTAGTAAGTTCAGTATGAATTTTGATGTGTTCCTCCGGTGGTTACTGAAATTGCAATTATGGGCACTCAAAAGCAAACATGAAAGTCTTTGCCGCATATCAGATGTAGTGAAAACAATCAGGACCACGGTTAACAACTTTAATACGTACTACATATGTACATATGTATCGTTACCTTAATAAAAAAGGCCTTATCTAACTTGTTTGTTTCTTTTTGAGCGATTAGAAACTTGAATAAAAAATCAAGTTATTAAGCACCAATTCGTTTAAAATGTTTTATTTTATTGAAGACTGTAATTCATTTTATGCTGTAGCAGTTATTTTCATGTTTTCGAAGGATTTGGGTGAGTAATCTGCCGACTTTCGTACATAACTGGATTTTGAACGAAAATGAGTTAGGGCTTTTCTCTATTAAGGTAACGTATGTATGTATGTATGATATCTTCCTTCCTTATTTTTACTTTTACTATCAGTTCTCATCATCCGTTTACCTTTTACTTTTTTTTACGATTTATAGTTGAATACTTTGCGGCTAGTGCGAGCGCTGGTCAAGCTGCTGACGAGCATCTGACGGAGATCGACGAGTTTCTCGAGAACGATGAACTTACCGTCATTGCAGCGGTGCATAACAAATCAGATGGCAGGATAAAATTTCATCATCGCATACCTGATGACGAGTTATGCTTACTATTTTATAAGATCCCACAAGTCAGCGGTGGCAGCTCTGGTGGAAGTGAATCCACGAACATTTTATCTGCTTGCAGTGGAGCATACGACCAACCACTTGGCATATTAACACTGGAGGGCGGATTGGTCAAGTCGATTTACAATTCCGTTTCGCGTGTATTCTCACCGCATGCCGAAACCAGGGTAAGTTAATGTTGCACATGAACACTTGATGTCTTTACTTAGTTTTTGTTTTGGTCAGCTGAGCTTAGTGATGTTAGCGTTTTTAAGTGACTTTTACTTCGTAACCTACCGTTTGCCTTGCAGTAAAGTTATGTTGTGCTTGTTTTTGTTTTAGATGGCACGTAACTTTCTTATGGCTGTGGAAGATTTCATGCAAAGAATGTTGTATAACTAACTAGTTAAATGTTTTCGCTGCAACAGACATACTATGCATATGTACACAGAATACTTAGGCACTCCGCACATTAAGCGCCTAATCATAGTAATGTAATTGTTTCGGCATACTAAAGAATGAAGCTTTTCAACTTTTGTTTACTTTTTTGTGTTGGAAATAAAAATTATTTGTCATTTCAATAGGAAATAATTTAAAATGAGTTATTTCGTGTTAAAATTCGCGCACACAATAAGCGTTTATGCAATATTTTACTGCAGAAATATTTTCAGAAGTGTGTAGTTGAGAAAGAACTGCCAGAAAATGTGTTATGTGTAGAATGTGTTTATTAACTGGTGACATGTGCAGGGCGAGCAAGTGTTCGGAAGTCGAATCGTAGGCGCGTAATGTACAGAGTGCCTTAGTCTACTTACTTACATTTAAGATGCTCACTAAATTTTCTTTTAACTTTTAAGAACACTGACTACAGTTCAGAATTGAGCGGTTTACTTGAAAGTTTACACGTGTCTTTGGGTTCAACTTTAGGTTTGCCGCAAAGTGGTAAGTTTCTATATATTATAACATCTGCCTGCATATTATCTTTATTTTAAATACTGCACATAAATAGTACAATCAAATTAGAAAAATCTGAAAATTTTTTATGTTGGTCGATTTCGTTTTTGTACTGAGAGAAAAGTTCCTGGGAATGATCGACTTGACTTTTCACAATCGCAAGAATGTTTTAAGACGTTTTAAAGTCGAAAATAAACGATCTGCAGTACATGAAGTAACATGCATCGTTGCCTAAATTTTTAGTATAGAGAAAATGTTTGGGACAAATTAATGATTACATTCGTTTAGAGCTTTCAACGCCGTTGATGGACGAGTTGAATGATATTTTTTATTCTAGTTCTCTTTCCCTAAAGAAGACTGTGAAACAATATTTTCCATGTCCTCAATGTCTTAGGCGCTAAGCAGTAAATTATCAATTCAACATATATGCTAATTTTGTTATTATGGGTTTGTGCTGAAATTTTTCGTTTAGTTGGGTAGCAATATTATCAAGAAAAAGCACTGCTACAGTCTTTTATAATAAGCTTAAAGACTCGGTGATACACTTTTTCTTTGATTCTTTCTGGTGTTGGAAATGCGTAGAAGTCTAACTTCACCATTTACCGAGCTCAGAAGCTTACCTTCTGTTTGGAATATATGTATGGTGTATTATTTAACTGGCAACGTTACATTCGTACGCATTTCTTTCAATATCAATCAATTGTCCATTAAATACCAGAAAACCACCGGTTTTTTTTTTACTTACAAGCTTTTATTTAACTTTCTCATCCCGCGGAAACTTACAAGCGATTTTAAACTATTTTCCCGACAAGCTAAAGACCTAGACATAGTTCCAATCACAATGGCAATGCAATTTAAAATATAAATGAATTACCTAGATGGTCCAGGGGTCTTGATACAAAGGCGGTCAAGTAAAAGTTATGGCTAACAGAGCGTAATTTGCCTGAGAACGTAAAACCGCTATAAGTATTTTATAGCTGCCGGCGATAGTAAATAAATACTATAGTTTCAGGCGCTTGTATGATAGATTCTACTGTGAATTCTTTGGTAAGAGAAAAACCAGATATTAGCTTCAACTATGTTTAACATGCATGTCGGCCGCTGTGCTATAGTGGTAAGCAGTGCCTCGCTTCCACTCCACAGCACCTGGGTTCAAGCCCTGGTCAAAGCAACATCGCAAAAAAAATATAGAAAAAAGGTTTTTTCTTAACAGCGGTCGTGCCTCGGCAGGCAATGGCAAACCTCCGAGTGTATTTCTGCCATGAAAAACAGCTTCTCATAAAAATACAGTCGCCGTTCGGAGTCGGCGTAAAACTGTAGGTCCCTCCGCTTTGTGTGACAACATCAAGGCGCCCGCCACAAATCGGAGGAGAAGCTCGGCCAAACACTAACATATGGGTAAGCGCCAATCTATTATTATTATTATTATGTTTAACATGACCAAACTGTTAAGTTTTAGGCACTTCTGTTAAGAATTACTTTATTTGGTTTCCTCACTTAGGGAGTTAGTGAAACACAAAGATACGATAAAAGGCACGCATAATCCACATGCATCCATCTTAAAAGTGTACATACTTCTACTTTCCCGCAGGCGAAAAAATTTAAGTTAGTACGATGTGCTTTGGGGTGAACTCGAACGATGTCAAATCTAATTCATTTCCATACAAAATTTGTTCTCTATTACACTAAAATTTAATCAGCTATAAAACTACTCTATATTTTTCTTTTAATTCAGATTATGATATCATTATTCAGATTGGAAAGTTTGAAGTTTTTAGGAATGCTTGCTGATTAGTTTTTTTTAAATGTTCTAGCCACCTTTTTCCAGTGCTGAGAGATGCACCCCCTGATATAACTCAGAGGCACAAGGAGATATGAGATATCTAGAGCCGACCCATTCCTGGCCAGCTCGTGAGCCATCCCCTTGCTGCTGTGTCCCAGCACCCAGATCAACGACAATGCAACGACATGCCTGTCAACTAAAGCCACGACGTTCTCCCTGCACTGTTTTATTATGCTGGAGGTGATCCTTGATCGCAGCCTGACTACCCGAGAAAATAGCAATGCTGGTTCTCGCTAGCTTCGAGGCTAAAATTATTTTGCAGGCCTCATTTATGGCAGACCTCTGTCTGAAAAATACTGGCCGAATTTGGTAATCGAGTAGACTCTTCGATTTGTAGGTCGGTTGAAAATATTCCCGCCCCTGCGCCACAATGAATTTTTGAGAAGTACGCAAAAATTTATACTTCGAAGCATTCAGTAAAAATAGGATCCTTTCACTCCCTTCTTGATGGAAAAATCGTGCCGAAGTTTTTATTGAAGAGAATCGAAGGACAAATGTAGTCAGTTTTTTTTCGCGAATGCTTGGGTCGTTGAAAGAGTGCAGAATACGTCCATGCCCGTACGTACGTTCTTTCCACAATCTAAGTTCCAACTTCAGGGCACTCTGTGAATCACTTTCCTTAGGGTTGTCAGACGTACCGCTTTTGGGAGTAAACGTACTCCTTTTTATTGCAATGTACTCCCTTGTACTCCAAAAAAAATGGAAATGTATGTACTCCTTTTTTTAGTTTTGTACTTCTTGTGTACTCCTTTTTCCAGATATTCATTTTCAAACGACTTCAGAAAAAGGAGAAGGTAATGTTACCGCCTAACTTTGTACCACGTCAACCGATTTCTATAATTCTTTTTTTAAAGGAAAATTGGTACCTCAGGTGTGGTCCCATACTAATTTAGTTTAGGTCCGTTCATTGGATCATGAAGAAATTAACGATAACCCTAAATTGTTATATTGGAATTGAGGTCGGTTTTGTTTTTTGCTTAAAAACGACTTGTTTATCATATACTTTGCCATTCGTATTGTGGCTAACACGAGTAAAGTTGAGTGTGATAGTAAAAAAGTGTAAGCACGGTCGTGGCCAGGTAGGTGCAGGGCGGTCAGTTATAAAAATCAGAAAAATATTAAATTAATTATAAAGGTTAAATTAAAAAAGGCCATATATTCAGGAATTTTGGAATTCTTTTGTGTAACTTAGTTATTTATTTTTTACATTAATTGTTGATTTGAAAAAGATATCTAAGATATCTTTGTTTGTTTGCACTTCATTAATGAAAACGATCTCAAATATGTGATTATATATTTAACTAGCAGACCCGGCGAACTTCGTCCCGCACAAAATTTTTATATATTTTATTGAAGCTTTTTGGTCCAACATTTGCACCAACAATTCACGTTTACGATTTTCATGGGCACATTTGTCTGCTAAGATTAAGGTTTGGTGGTCATTTGTCGCTTTAAATAACCTAAGGAAAGTGTTATATCCGTTTTTGAAATTCTCAAGTTGTGCGGCATTTCATAGCACGGTTATTCGCAAAGCGAAATAAATTTTTTCCTCTTCACTCCCTGGCGGCAACAATGACCCGGTTCTATAGTGAATGTCCTAGAAGCTTTACAGTATAGTAGGTGGCAATTTCAAAATGGGTGCGAATCATTGTTCTACAGAAATGCAATATACATATACTTATTTCAGACGAAATACCTTAAAAGTTTGAACGCATAATAATATTGGAAAATCACATCCATTGGGCCAATTGCAACGCAGGAGCGTTCGATATACTCAATGGTGCAACAGGTCGATTTAATCTGACCTTCACGGCCCCTTTTCTCACTTGGCTATTTTTAGTAATAGCTCGACTTCAGCACCACTTGGCAGCACGTTTTTCAATAGTATTGCATACGTATTTAAAACATTAGCCAAATCGGATCATAAATAAGATTTTTAGTAATAACTCAACTACAGCGCCAACTGTCGGATTTAATTGTGAAACTAAACCATCCAGAGACCCACTCAAATACACAAAAAGTTTCATTAAAATCCGTACAACCGTTTAGGAGGATTTCACTCACAAACACACCTACAGAAGAATAACAAAATCATTCAAAGATAACTAAAGGTCGGTACGTTTGTAGGCCTCACACCCCTTTTCAAATAGCCCAAATTTTCTCCATGAGTATGGGCTTGATTTCAACTATATACTACCTCCATACGAAGTTCCGGTACTGTACCATGAATACTTTCAGAGATATGCAGTATAAAAATTCGATTTATATGGGAGGTGCCACGCCCCCCTTTCCAACAGCTGCCCTCTTTCTTCATGAGTATGCGATTGATTTCGTATATCTCCATACCAAGTTCCAGAACTCTACCATGAACACTTCCAAAGATAGGCAGTATGAAAAATTCGGTTTGTATGGAAGATGCCACGCCCCCTTTTCCAATAGTTCCAATTTTTCTCTAAGAGTATGCGATTTATTTCGTACATCTCCATACAAAACTCTAGAACTCTACCAAAAAATTTCCAGAGATAAGCAGTATGAAAAATTCGGTTTGTATGGGAGATGTCACACCCCTTTTTACAATAGCTAAAATTTTTCTCCAAGGGTATGCGATTGATTTCGTATATCTCCATACCAATTTCCAAAACTCTACCATACACACTTTCAGAGATATGTAGCATCAGAAATTCGGTTTGTATGGGAAGTGCCACGCCCCCTTTACATATAGATTTTTTTCAGCCTAAAACCATCCTTGGGACACGTGCGGCAGGTGGCAGTTTCAAAAAAATCGGTTCAGCCGCTCTCGAGCCTTGCAAAAACTAACAAACGGCTTTCTAAAATATATTGGTTGAGATATATTATATATTATAATTATATTTTGACAGTATCCGTTGTTTCTGATTGGCGCAAAAAAATCTTGCCTAGTGACGAATTCGCCCCTTGATATGGTCGTTACTTAAAGCTATTTATATTCGAAATTGCATGAAAATTGGAAAACAGGAATCTATAAGCTTATCCAGGCAAAAAGCTACCTACGTACCGAATTTTAAGCAAATCGGACCGTAAATACGATTTTTTCGAAGAGATCAGTCCCTGGTCCACTTCTCGGAAAAAATTGACCATATATCCTAATATATGCTAAAAAACTACT